GCGTATCTTAAAATTTCACTCTCATAATTTTTTCATAACGCGCCTAAAGAAGTATAACTTCAAAAAATGAGCGTGAGGTATTTGAAAACCTTCACCGGTCAAAATAACAAAATAAAATCGAAAGCATTAGCGATTTCCAAAGCATCACCATTAGGCGAATGGCCCCCGGGTGATGTTAACCCAAAATTCACGGTATAAATAGAGCAATAGGGTAAAATCAAACGCAAATATAGTTTAAAAATAACGTAAGTTTTTATTATTACATGTAATTAAATAAAAATAAAATATAATTTTATTCTGTTACATGTAAATAACCGCTCCTTCGGGGGTCGCAGCCCCGCCTCCTTATCAATTTGGTAAACTATAGATATATAATTCGACAGCGCATCATAATCTTAACTCCGTTACACAAAGCACCGCCACTAGACACCGAATCACTTAATTTTTGTTTGAAATCAAAATCGCCAAAGAAGACGGTGTACAAGAAGATTAAGTAAAGTGTGGGTATATTGTGAAAAGAACTGGTGTTTGGGGATTCCGGCACAATAAGGACACGGGACAAGACGGAAAATTCCGGGACTATCGCGGATTTTCCGGCCATCTGGCAACCCTAAGGTTAAGCGCTTTTTGATTGGCTATGCCAGTGTGACGTCACAGTCGGGTGACGAATCAGGTGCAAACTTGTACCGCGCCGAAAAAGGGGCGTGTCACACGCTTATATAGTATTAGCACATAAGGTTGGCACAATTGGGTGCCCTTATATGTCTAGTGGACGTGCTCTGTGCTCCGATAACAATTGCGACGGGACAGGAGCCAATGTACAAAGTCAAAAGTTAAAACAATTAAAAACACTTATTCCAAAGAATTTCGTCATAATAGATAAGTTGAGTAGTCGCGTCACAACTGTTTCATAGCTGAGGGTTTTCAATTGCGCTAAAGAATATGATTATTTCAAATACTGAAGCCCTGTGACCGATCAATGAGGATTTCACAAATCGAAGTGATTTAGTTCAGAACAGGGTTGAACAAGCACAGTTTAAGAGTCAAGATCCAAATTTCACATTCCACGTGTTTAAAAGTAGGTACACATGAGGACAATTAAAAGTATATATATATATATCATAAAATAACAAACAGATTTGTAAACATACGAAAGTGGAAAGGAAGTCGGTATGTTACTATCGGCACAACAGAAAACTCCCGGCTAATGGCGATTGTTTTTATTAAAACTACACATCGATACCACAGCGATTTAAGAATTAACACAACTCGGCGAACCCGTCAAAGTCGGCAGGAGACGCGAACTCGGAACCATCTAAAATATGTCCGCCCGACTCGTACAACTAAAATTTTTAATAACACATTACCTCCTTATACCAAAATATATTATTATGGCTTGAGTTATCATTTCAAAGATACATAATATAATATTAATATATTCTTCGTGTTTATATCTATTCGTAACCTATACTTATTTATTAAAGACGTTTGCAACACTTTTAAGTTAGCAACATGTCATTATTAGAGATCTGTGCAAATGTTTGTGATGTTCTTTTTGCGATTATATTTATCTTAAAAAAAACTCCCGAGTTTTAATATAATAATAATTATTAATTTAATAATAGAAGTTAAAATTGAATTATAATCTCACTCGACTGCGTTGACGGTTGCTTAATTCGGCTTAATGTTAAATTAAGTAACGAATGATCCATTATGGTTATCACAAAGTCTTATTATGATATGAATTCAAATAGAATAATATGTTAAACTACAAAATTATCTCAAATAACACTATTAACAAGCTTATTTTTATTATTTAAAGCGCATACTGATTTGACCAAAAAGAACACCACAAAAACGGCCAAAACATCAACATTGGCAGGATCAGCGAAACGTCAACGCTTGTCGAGTCATGTCATGAACGAAATGCTAGATATTTGGTGTAAGCAACTGCCTCTGGTAAGCGTCCAACACCGTCCAAAAGTAGAAATAACTTTACTCAACAAAAGTTGAAATGCAATAATATAAAAAATATGATATCCGTTTAATAATGCCAGAAAGTGTAATATTGGGCCCAATTCTACCATGAGTATAAATTTGACAACAGTGTACCTTTGTCATTCTCTATAGAGAATGAAAAGGAGAGACTGGTGTTAAATTTAGTTTTAAATTTAGAGAATTTTGCCAGATACGACACCATTGATGCGATTTTTAGGGCATTGAAATTCATGATACCTTGTCATATTTGTCGTACATCAATAAAATATAATGGCATATATTTATCAAAATAGTCCATTGTGACTTAAAGGGTATACACAAAGTAAACATAACTAGAAATTAGTTTTTAAGAACGGTGTTGAAGCTAAAATAATAAATGAGCTAAGTAATAAAAAAAATATCTAAAAGCAACAGACAGAGCAATTATACTAAGTACCATGCTGCTAAATCAAATTTCTCAACCTCTTTTTATGACGAATCGACGTTATCCCATTCACAAATCATAGGAAGAAAGTAATCACAGTTCGTGTACATAACAATGCATACTACTTATATTTTAAGTGTGTCAACCCTAAAACATAGACTATATAAACTTTCAAGTGTTGCCAATGAAAAAAGTAATGATTCCTTAGTCACAGAGAGAGGGAGATAGACAAAAAACACAATCATTAAACATGACACATCATTTGTTTAAAAATTAACACTAATCATATAAAATAATTAAATACCTATGAGATATAAAGTGTTGACTGTAGTCCGTTAATACGGGCTATTTCTTTTATTTAGATTTTGGATTTATGCTATGGGGACAGATAAGAAAATATTTACATAGTGCTGTCTCGCTCGCACGTATCTCCGTTTTGCTGCCGGCGTACACAAGATTACAAGGTAAAATCGTGATTTAAAAAGCTTATAATACAAATAATAGAGGTGGACGAGTCATTAATTCATTACAATACAAATCAGAGCATAGTTTAAGTTCGTCTCAAAAGATTATTCTAGCTAGTCTCTTCCCAAAAAAGTGTGACAGTAAGGCAATAATCTGAAGACTGGAGCGAGAAGTCAAGTTGGCAACACTGCATCATTATTTTGGCACGTTGGTCACACTACCAACGTTCTAAAGCTAAGTAAGTACAATAAATGTTACATTTTAAGGTTTTCCATTAACTTAAATTGTAATAATCTCTATGTGATATTTATGGCTTAGTATCTTGTAATATTATGATCATAGCGACAAGAATAATCTTTTGAAAGGATATCGATATAAGATCTTAGAATTATACCCATAGTCTGTAGCTACAAAGTGTACAATATTTTCCATATAAGTGGCAGTGTCTTACGAATTATTAAAATTACAAGATCCAAGGTATTTAATTCAATAAATTCGTGACAGCAGAGTTATTAAAAGAAGATTTTAAAAAAGACGGATAATAGAAAATATTGAATACAATAATTAAATTAAGAAAAAAAACTTTAACTTTGTATATACTGTGGTTCAGTTGGTTAATACTAAGATTTATTAATGTCAACAAATCAAGTTTAACACGTTACGGTCTGATTAAAAACATGCACGACTTTAGACAAATTATGGATGAATTTTTGAAATTCATTTGTTACCAAGACTCCGGCAAAGATGGCAATATATTCTCTTTGTAAAATAAAGTGGTCAAATGGCGCCATATATAACTAAGTTATTTAACTCTGATAAAGATGACAGAATACTTGTTCCTAGTAAAAATAAAGTCGTCCGAATGCGCTATATTTAAGAAGTATAACTTCAAGTATACACGCCCATCTTTTTCTAACAGAACTTTGAAACTTATCGTCCACCTGTACTAAAAATAGTTAGTAACTAACGTTTATTAAAATGTCCGTACATTATTAATAATAAAACTACTTCGTTCTCAACCCGATTCTCAAAAGCCAAACTATCGTACTACTGATAATAATCCGAAATGTGAACACTTTTTTTCTATCATATTGCTGCTTATCATAAGCGTAGACACTAACGACCAAAGACAAGCCATAGACAATCCCTATCTTTTTTTTTTATTTCCAATAACACTTGGACACACCAACGACTATACATTATTTAAAAACACGAATTTCAAATTGATTATCTTATAATCAGGCGAGTTTTTTTTATAACTTCAAGGTAAGCTTTCACAGAGTAAAACGTCTGCTGCGTTCTGTAGCCTCGGGCTGTATGCACATCCGTACTAACATTCTAAAATTGGCAATCGTGGTCCATAAAATATAATCTGATTTTTAGATTAACATTTCTATTACTTGCTTTGCAGAAACACTACATTCATTGTAACAACCATAGACAATGGCTCACCTTATCGAATTCTTTTCAATTATTTGTCTGTTACACGATTTTAATGATTATTAATTTATAGAAGGGAAATTGAAGAAAACAAGTTGTCTTATGCTTTATAGACACCTCGAAATGATTTCCGTCCATATTATAAACTTGTTTAAACATCTGTAGTCAGTGCATGCATGCATTTCCTTTATGGATAAAAAATATTTAAAGATAGATTTAACATATATTGAGCCAAATTTCAACAACACATCGTAAGTAGAGATTCACATTCGAGGTGCCGTGATTATTAAAATTAAAAATTATGAACTAATATAACTAAAACAATTCAAGACAGTCTAATAGCAACACTTTAACACGTTATAAAGTGCGTTTATTTTAATTTAACGTGATATTTGACGTCACTTTCTTTCACTCCTGTTAATAAATTTCAATTCATCCGATTTCGTGGTCACAAGATCTAGATTTTTGTCAACTACAACACTATTGAACAGCTACCGAATCGCACACATACCAAGCATAATTAAAACAAACACGCTTTTATAACGTTACAAAAGCGTTTGACGAAACGTTAAAAAATAACTGTTAACGGATATATTTTTCATAACACGTTACGAAAGCGTCAACGAAACGTTCGACATAACCGTTATAACGGTCACATATTTAAATAACACGTTACAAAAACGGTTATTTTCACAAAACAACACGGGAACCATTATAATCGTGTCACAGACAGCTCTACGGGATCGTTACTACGCGTACTACGGTCAGATACGAGCAAAGACATAGACAGCACGTGCAACGAGCGTGGTGTTTGCGTGCGTTATAACTCCATATCGTGCGCTTCGTCGTCGCTGAAGTCGCTCATGGAGCTCTCTGTGTCGGTATTATTGTTCGCGGCGCCGTTGGATTTAGTACCGGAGGGTGTAGGGGTGGCCCCGACGCCTGTTATCGCGTCCTTCTCTAGTAAAGCCTCTTCGGTCGCGAACCGTCGCACGTAATCTAAATATCCGGTACAATATATTTTTAGTAACAAAAAAAAAGTGAGTGTGCTTATAACCACACGGCTGAAGTGAAACTTCTTTAGCTCCAATGATCTGAAAATCATAATCTTAACCTGAAGATTTGCTGATAGAAAAAAAAACACCAATCCGCGCTGGGTCCGTTATCACCCACCAAGCACTAGATTCATGTATTTTGTGACAGGCATTGTTCATTGTTTACTGATGAGTCACCGATGACACTAATCGTAACGCGAAATCGTAACACATTCGCCAGTTTACCCCCCAAGTCAAGCGTGCCTAAAGAAGTTTCACTTCAAAAAATTCAAAAAAATTCATTCAGTCGTGATGTCAGACAGTATTTGACCCGACGCCTTCCGATGCCCGGTCGATGGGTTTAACCGCTAAGCTACCGAGACCTTAATGGCCGTGTTGAATTTCTTATAGTATCAAAGTACAAAAATATCTTCCACGGCCGAGCGAAATTTTTACTGTTCGTTCAATACTTAATTAAATTTTACTAGAAAATAAATACAAATCTGGTCAGGCAGTCTTACATGTTTCCTAATATATTGTTCTCATTAAGTTTCATTTGACAATGACAAAAAGTATTGTAAATAATAAATTAACCATGCTCCCAAATGAACAAATATGAAACAAATGAACGATCTAATTTGTCAGTTTTGTATTAAATGCGCAAAACAAAACAATAGATTCTCATGCAAACATATTTAAGACCCCCCGAGATCGTCGCATACATCAGATACTTGACGGTAGGTGTACAGAAATTACGTATGTATCTGGAATCATCGAAAGACATTGCCTTGAGAACTATTAAATATCAAATCACGTCAAGCCGTTGGTCCCAGCTGCATATGCAGTCGTCAGTATCCACCAATCCGCACTGGGAAGGCATAGTGAGAACCTAGTATCTCATCAATGGACACGTGAAAAAGCTGTTGATGAGGCTCGCCTAAAACCTTTCACGGTTCGGCTGCGATCGTTGAAGTTAAGTAACTTTCGTAGTGGTCGGTCATAGGATGGGTGACCAAAAATTTACTAACTCGTTCTCCTTGCTTCGGAAGGCACGTTAAGCCGTTGGTCCCGGCTGTATATGCAGTCGTTAGTACCCACCAATCCGCACTGGGCTCGCGTGGTGGGTCATGGCCCAATCTCCCTATTCCATCCATAGGGAAGGCCCCAGCAGTGGGGATATGAATAGCCTGATTATGAAGGTAGAAAAGAGACGCTTTAAATCTCATTTTATTCGAGCTCCAATAGTTGAAAAAGAAATTAGACCTATGTAAGACCTGTTCTACTTCAAATTGCAGCCTTAAGCCCTTTGATATAGGAACTATAAAGAAAACCTGACTGACCTGAAACCTTTTTCTTGTACTCCTCTGGTTTGTGCAGGTACATAGCGGCCGCGTCTCCGTTCAGCGGGTCGATGGGGTTCGGATACGTGAGAAGCTGCGGCAGGAACGACTCGAATATGTTTGATAGGTCTGAAATTATAATGTGGAACTTAATCTCTTGGGTATAAAGTATGCTTTCCAATTACAGAGCATAATGCGACTCAGTGCCGCACAATGCCCAATTATGCTGATGCTTAATTGGAACGTGAATTAGTTTTCAAATGCACCAGCAGAGTGCGCTAAGTTCAGTGTTGAAAAAAAAAGTCAATGTTTGTACCTTCATCCATACTTATATTTATTTTTTAACAATTTCAATGAACTTTGATTATTTAAAAAAAACTATTTAATGAAACGAAAGCTTTAATAATTTTTCAACAATAAATAATATTACTAACGATAACATATGAATAAAACATTTCGATCAATGCCAACTAAAAAGAAAAAACACTTGTTAATTTTCTGTCTCTAAGTTGGTACGATTGCACGCATCACGCGAAAGCATCACTTTTGAGTGCTCAATTGTGCGAAGCGTTGCTGTAGTTGGAACACTCAACGTTAAGCATTATGCCGCATAATGCGCTATAATGCTGTAATTGGAAAGCTACCAAAGGATGTTTTTGAGAGGAGTGTTGGAATGTTTCCCAACACTAAATATAGTGCACAGCACTAGTTGACCAGCAGCGTCTCTCGCTGACTCTCTCTCTCCATTACCGGCCCCGTATTGTACAGACGTGCTCCCTATTATATCTAATTTAACTACTTCTGAGTAAGTCCTAGCCATAATACCAAGTTTTTCGGTGTCTGTACTTACAGTGTATTTACCTTTGTGTCTGTATGTGCATAAATATACCTTAAACGATGAACCAGTGTTTGTGTAACTACCATTCAACCTAACTACAGTCCGCTACCAACCGAACAAGGAGACACAGTCTCGAATTTGGTTTCGAGAATTACATCAGTGATGGAGAAGAGCCAAGAGTTAAGAATACTCTTATGAATAAGGGCTATTATAAAGTTAATGATTATCTAAATGATCGAAATGCATGGACATAGTGTTTCTTGTAATTTGTTATTTGATTGGTATGAGTCAGTTTTTGAAACAGTAATATGGTACCTATCTAATGCCGCTTCCTATACTAAATATAAAATTTATTGTAACTATATATCTATATCCTTAATAATGTAATGGAAGGTGACTTCAGATGTATCTCTGAAATCATTTTTCAATTTGACGACTCTGTATATATCAATACAGGGAGAAAAAGCAGCCCTTGCTGAGTTTCTTGCCGGTTCTTCTCAGTACAAGGTCTCCCGCCGTAGTTTTGCGAACCGATGGCGTAGCTTCTTGACCTTCACAAGTGCTTGTAACAGCCTAGACTGAATAAATGACGTTTCATTTTCATTTTCATTTTCAAGGGTTACAGTGCGCTGCTGCACTGTATGGGCTGCATCTGCCGTAGTTAGCACCATTAGATTAAAACAAAAAGGGTAGATACGGTACGCTCATACTAGTATCAAATAAAATATGATCCGACTCCGACTCAACTACATAAGCAACTCTCGCACACGCACGCTTCCGTAAATAAACATTCAATCGAGCGAACGAGACAGAACCCCTAGCACGAACCATTATCGAATTCGAATAGTTTGCAAACCGATATGTCAATGATTTTATTTATTTTTTAAGCATTTAACTGCTAGATGTTTAAATCTAAAGAAAAGTTTACTAGAAAAAAATCCAATGCGAGGAGATGGCGCTGCCTTGCAGCCTAAGGCTGGGAAAATTTCGACGCGGCTTAGAGGGCCGTGGTAGCATAATGGTCAGTGCATTCGCCCGGATTGCGAGGGATGCGGGTTCGAGTCCCGTCCGCTGCCTGGTCCGCGTGGATTTTTTTCTAGTAAACTTTTCTTTAGATTTAAACATCTAGCAGTTAAATGCTTAAAAAATAAATAAAATCATAACTATAATTGCTATTTCTTCTTTCAAATGTTTAATACTTGAAAAAGTATTCATTTGACATTGTGGGTTGCCTACAATGCGAGGAGATGGCGCTGCCTTGCAGCCTAAGGCTGGGAAAATTTCGACGCGGCTAAGAGGGCCGTGGTAGCATAATGGTCAGTGCATTCGCCCGGATTGCGAGGGATGCGATATGTCAATGTCAAATTTTGTATGGAAACTTGAACAGCAGCGGCACAAAGTACGTAACGAGAACTAAAAATCAGTACACACTGTGCAGCCGAATGCGTTTCATTTCTCTATCTACAGATGAGATGTATTGTTGTGCTTTTCTTGATAAATAATGGCGAATCAATAGCTAACATTCATGACAAACCGTGATTTTTGGGAAAAAAAGTTTTTATAGTTTTACGAATAAAAAGTGTTGCCGAGGCATTTGTTATTTGATTTTGAACTATTTGTGTTCTTTATAAAAGCATCGAAGCATTATTTTATCATTATAACACAGAATATACGCAATATTGTTATATTGAGTGCACATGCAGCGTGTTTGAATGTCTAATTGTGACTAAAGCGAATTGTGGTCGCGCATCACAATTTAAGCGGATCACTTTTGAGCCGCGGGTGCCGTATCTTCCCTTTTTGTTTTCATCTTAGTTAGCACCCCAATCTTCCTATTCCATCTATAGAGGTCTTTTTTATGTCTGGAAGATTCCTTACGCATTCTCCTACCACAGGGAAAAGCAAGACGGAGGTATCTGTGGATTCCGCGCTAACTATTTCATACAGTTCGAAAGGTTGATGAAATGAGCAAGGCCCTTACAAGTAAAAAACCGGCCAAGTGCGTGCCTTGCCACGCACAGTGTAGGGTTCCGTAGTTGCCTGTAGTTACCACAATATAATTTGAGCAGGAGTCTTTATTTTCTATATAGGAAATTAGAAAAACCAATTAATATCAATCTATGTATTTGAACTAAAACACCTTTATAAAAGTAAAACTTGAGTCTCAAACTCAAAATCAATTCGATTTTTTTTTAGAACTATGGACCTATTCAACGCTATCCCAGACCATGGGGTAGATGATGAAAAAAAAATCATCCCCAGGTTAAATGTATGGGAGCTACCCTAAAAAAATAATTTTAAAAATTTCATTCTATCATTTTGTCGGCGTGATCGATATACATATCTCCACAAAATTACAGCGCTCTAGTGCTAATAATTTCCAAACAAAACCGGGAACGGACATGACGAAACTTTAAGGGTACTTTGTCAGGACTACTAAACCTTAAAAAACCAGACAATACATACTCCTGCACCTATCACCCGACACGCAATATGAGGAACGAGCTGAGGACCCCATAATGCTTGCCGAGATTGCGGGATTGACGTGTAACCCTATGGGGGGCTGTCAACGCAATCAATAGGGAAGACTGCGCCCCGGCAGTGGCTGGGGCTGAAATATGATAGGCTGGCTGATGATGACAAAACGGTGCCCAACATGTCGTCGATGTTTGGATGGTACACCTTGTTCATAAACGCGATAGACGGCGACTTCTTGTGCCGCAGCAGTGGGGACACAATAGGCTGATAATGATGAAAACTCACCTTATAATGCTGTCCACGCTTGGTTGATGACGTCTAGACAGACGGTGCCCAACACCTCGTAGATGTTCAGTTGGTTCACCTTGTCTATAAACCCGATTTACGGCGACTTCTTGTGCCCCAGCAGTGGGTAATAGGCTGATAATGATGAAAACTCACCATATAACGCTATCCACGCTTGGTTGATGACGTCCAGATAAACGGTGCTCGACACCTAGTCGATGTTTGGATGGTAAACCTTGTTCATAAACCCGGTGGACGGCCACTTCTTGTGCCCCAGCAGTGGGGATAAAATAGGCTGACAATGACGCTAAAAACTCACCATATAACGCTGTCCACGCTTGGTTGATGATGTCCAGACAGACGGTGCCCGACACCTCGCCGATGTTCGGATGGTACACCTTGTTCATAAACCCGATGGACTGCGACTTCTTGTGCCCCAGCATTGGGGACACAATAGGCTGATAATGATGAAAACTCACCATATAACGCTGTCCACGCTTGATTGATGACGTCCAGACAGACGGTGCCCGACACCTCGTCGATGTTCGGATGGTACACCTTGTTCATAAACCCGATGGACGGCGACTTGAAGGGGTAGTGGTCGGGCAGGTGCACTCGTACGCGCCACACGCCGCCTTCATACGGTGCTGTGGGAACATTAATATTATTTTAGGAGCTTGCTATCTTAAAGCTGTAAACGGAATCGTCAAATAAAATGAATGCTCCATTAGGGATAGCCGCGACTCTTTCTGTTGTTATAGGAAAGAAAGTGACAGCATCTACGTCAGCTTTAGGCATCTCGCGCACTAGACGGCCTGTCGTGGCCGTGCCCGCAACCTTGGTCACAGAAGATACGGTTGGGCTGCAGCCAAGGCCAGACTGGCTTGCCGAAAACCGGCCACGAAGATAGTTGTTTCTTTAATTCATTTATTTTTGAGCTGACATCCAATAACAATATACGTTGAACTTATGAATGTAACAAAAGCTTTATTTGGTGATCTACAATAGTAAATAACTGTGTATCAAAACTCATTGAAGAAAATAAAACGTCTTGATATTGGGTTGCGGAAAAATATACAAAGCGTGTTCACTCACGAACTGTCTGCATGACACTGAAAAATGTCTAGTCCTGGCCTGGCTGCATTCCCGGTCGTAATTCTAGTGCGCTAGCGCTCATAACAAACTATCCGCCGCAACGACCAGTTGTGACAGCCCGATGTGAGGCCACTGGCCGTGGCGGTCTAGTGTGCGACGTTCATATAGTTAGTTAATTTAGTCGACGCGGCCACTAGCCGTGGCCGTTCAGTGCGCAAGGTGCCTTAGTCAAACTTGAAAGTTACTTGATTTATCTAACAACGGCCGTTAGTAATTAGCAACTTCGGCCTGCGATTGCTAAAGTTGGAGCGTCCTTCTGGTACGGGACTATTCACCTTACAGAAATATATCTTACATTCAGATTCGTATTCGTAGACAGAGGTAAGATAAAGAAGACAGATAAATGATAAAGTAGACAGAAGAATGATGAAGTAGACAGAAGAATGATGAAGTATACAGAGGAATGATAAAGTGGACAGAAGAATGATAAAGTAGACAGAGGAATGATAAAGTGGACAGAAGAATGATAAAGTAGACAAAGGAATGATAAAGTGGACAGAAGAATGATAAAGTGTACAGAGGAATGATAAAGTGGACAGAAGAATGATAAAGTAATCAGAGGAATGATAAAGCGGACAGAAGAATGATAAAGTAAACAGAGGAATGACAAAGGGACAGAAGAATGATAAAGTAAACAGAGGAATGATAAAGAAGACTGTTATTTAGTATTCATAGGTAGGTACAAGTTTCTATTGGGAGGGTGACTAGTATATTTAATTACCTAAATTATCATATTTATTACTTACTGCCTGGAGGACCGAAGAATTTGACACAGAACTCGTTGAGGCCGCCCAGGATCGTCACCTCGTGCTTACTCTCAATACTGTAGAGTGCTTTGTTAAGGAACTATACTGTGATTTGCTTAAAAACTTAATAATTATATTCTACTTACAACTAGATTTGGTATCTTAATACAAAAGACGGACCAGTAATTAGACTGGACTTTTGTCCCGAAAAGTTGGACGTTATCCTCCGACTTTCTTAAGGCGAGCAGTGTAACGCATAGACCGAAAGGCCTGCCGCCGTAAGCACGAAATATAAAAAAATGGGTGCGTGTACTTATGTAGGCGCGTGAGAAGTTATCCTTCTTTGGCATCGCAAAATTAGTTTTTAATTGCATGCAAATAATTAATTACAATAAATTAATAAAAAGTCTGGAAAATGACACAGTCAATAAAGTTCAGTTTTAATTTGAAAAAATAAATAAATAATCAAAATATTCAATTAAAATCGCTACTGAATATAATTTATTAGAACATATGTGATTTGCACTTGTATGAAACTCAAACACGTATTCCGATTATACAAACTAGAAACATGTGGATAAATATTATAAATATGAATACCTATAACTGTTACTTTATTACAAAAAATAAAGTTGTGGTTTTTGGTTCTACTACACCAATGGTCAAGAGATAGCGCTGTAGTCTCCTGAATCGCGCTTTGGTTCCGTTGTTCCAGATTAATAAATACTTTTGATATTATAAATATGAATACCTATAACTGTTACTTTATTACAAAAAATAAAGATGTGGTTTTTGGTTCTACTACACCAATGGTCAAGAGATGGCGCTGTAGTCTCCTGAATCGCGCTTTGGTTCCGTTGTTCCAGATTAATAAATACTTTTGATAGGCCTTCACAATGCAGTCGTTAGCACCCACTAAATAGAGATTCTATTTCTATTTTGTTGGTAGATTTTCTTAATGTGTGGTAAACACAAAAGCAACGCATGAAGTTGGTCGCTTTAGCGACCAACTTCATGCTGTTAAAATTTTGTGTTACAGTGATGCGCGTGCATCTTAAAATTTCACTCTCATCATTTTTTCATAACGCGCCTAAAGAAGTATTACTTCAAAAAAAATAACTTTATACTGTAAGAAAATCGAGCGTTGGCTTGCCAACAACCTCATGTTTACAGGTTGGCAAGGTATTAAAGTACGATTAAATGATGTATTAATAATTAAATAAATAAACATTTTTTTATAAATGACCGGACACAACAGAAAATGTCAAATTAGTTGGGCTAAAGTCTGACAATAACGACGAGTATATCAATAAAAACATCACACGGAATAGGCATTGTACAGTCGCCATCAGATATATCTGAGCATACAAGATGACCAAATACATCTGAACAGTTAAAACGTCAGTAAGTTCTATACACTACAAGTGACCATAAATATCTGATCATTCATTACTTCAATAATATCTGAGCAGATGCCTGTCAATAATATCTGAACATACAACTTTTCAAAAATATCTGAACAATTTAAATAGGACCTCTTAATTATTTATTTATAATAAGATGACGCTGGCAGTTAAACACTTTCCAGTTTTTATTCTTATCACCTCTGTCATGTGTCATGCACAAATAAATTCAAGCAGCTTGCTTACGTATTAGTTCATACCATAAATTAACTATAATTAATATGAGTTCGTACCGTATTGATGCGGAAATGAAACATAAAATAATACAACTAAAAAATGATGGTTTATCCGTAAAAGATATCGCCGATGAGCTAGGGATAGCCGTAAGTATCACGGAGAAAAATGCTAAAAATCAATTGCCCACAAAACATGAAACTTTATTCACAAAGTATAAAATTGTATTTATTTCAGAGAAATACTGTATATTTATGGCTAGAAAGATGGCAGCAAGAAGAAACATTAAATAATCATGTTTCATTTGGTCGCCCGCGTACTACAAATAACCAAGACATAGCTATTATAGATAAAGCCAAAAATGACAGATTTATAAACACTACACAATTTTCAAGCACATTCGAAATATCCACTAGCACCATTAGAAGACGATTAAAAGAAGGAGGTTTAAAAAATAGAGTACCGGCAAGAAAACCAACTCTCACGCCAAGGCACAAAATGCAGCGGCTACAATTTGCAGCTAATTATTTAAATTTTAATTTTCAAAACGTTATTTTCATGGACGAAAAGGTTTTCTGCTGATGATTTCTGAGATAATGGGCGATTAAGTTTGTGGCGACCCGAAAACACACGTTACTTAGAACAAAATGTGCTGCCTAATCGCCGGAGTGGACGTATTTCAATTGGATTTTGGGGATGGATGTGCAAAGATGGTCCTGGTGAGCTTGTGGAAATAAGTGGACGAATGAATGCAATGAATTATAAGGAACTTCTGGAAGATACTTTTCTTCCTACAGCTCAAGTTTTTTATCCAGAACAACAAATTACATTCCTTCAAGACAACAGCTCAGTACATAATGCTCGTACAGTACAGACATGGATTAATGAACAGAGAGAACTAACTTTAATCAAACTACCACCAAAAAGTCCAGACCTCAATCCCATCGAAAACCTTTGGGGTAAAATGGTGCAAGAGTGGGATGGGAATCAATGTCGAACAACAGAAGCCTTAAGGCGACATGCAAATGATGTTTGGGAATCGTTCAGAGGTCGAGGTTTTTGTGAGAAGGTAGTTGGTTCCATGAGGAAACGTTTACAAGACGTATTAAATGCAGAAGGAGGTTACACAAAATACTAATGTTTCATGAGAAGTATATAATTGGTCAGCCTTTAAATAATTTGGTCGGCACAAAAAGATTTTGTAAGCAATTTAAAAAATCAGGCAGCAATCCTTGTTCGGCAAATAATTATATAATGGTCAAAAATTTAATATGAGAGTATACAAGATGGCTCATTTAAATGGGTCAGTATGGGAAAGTCTGAACTATAATATATACGAAGATCTGTTCTTAGGAACTATGTCATCGATTTTAATAAAAATTAAAACTGCATTCATACATTTAAGAAAAACCCTGTGGTCAGCTCGGGAATCGAACCCGGTCGTTTTGAAAAAAAAACTAACACTATTTTCTATTTCTATTTATTAGTAAGATAAGTTACCTATACGTGTTAAATTTTGTATTAAAAAAACGGTGGTCACTTAGAACAAGTCGACAATATACGTTACGACCGTCTACGTCTGTTAGAAATTCCCGTCTAAACGGGCATTGATAATATTGGGAAATTATTAAGCTAATAATAATACGCTAATTTTAAGAACCTTACTTATTGCCTGATAACTTTTTGATTTGATCTCATGTATCATTATACTAATTATAAGAATAAAACATTTTGTTACTATTTAATTTTAAACTCATTGTATCAGAAGTTGCTTTTTTTTATTTCGATCTCGATTATAATTTTATTATAATAATAAATACTTAAGCTTAAGCATCTACTGAGGTAGGTACCAAGTTAATTCGTTTACATTTTTTGATTATTTAACTGAATAAAAATTTATAAGAATTAAAATTGTTTTTTATTAATTTTCACTTTTATAAATAATACATACCCAAACCAAACAAACACATCCACTCAGAGAGTAAATAAAATTTTTGTAAGGATGGCGCCCAGTTTGAGCATGATAAGTACAGAATTCCATTTTCCACTGCAATGGAAATAGTGGGACAAATGTTTCCTCCAAATTATTACTTATTTCTATTGCGGTTAAAAAACGCAGTTGTCTTATTTTGAAATAAATTTCTAAGGAGATATTGAGAATTTAATCTATAGAATAAAATAAAAACATAACTTCTCGTTAATTTTAAAAAATAAATAGAGAAAAAATTAGGCATCTTCCATTTCTACTACTCGTGGTGACCCTACACGAATGATTTTCTGATAGATTTTTATTCCCTTCTCATCGTATTTATTCCTTATATTTAGCCTTTGTTTTTAGTTCATCCTTTCAATCACGCAGTAACAAAATATGTAAGCCCAGTGCATGATCTGCGTAGATACATAATCATGGACGTGTTCAGATATTTTTGAAAAGTTGTATGTTCAGATATTATTGACAGGCATCTGCTCAGATATTATTGAAGTAATGAATGTTCAGATATTTATGGTCACTTGTAGCGTATAGAACTTAATGACATTTTAACTGTTCAGATGTATTTGGTCACCTTGTATGCTCAGATATATCTGATGGCGACTGTACTATATACCTATCTAAATAAAGAAAAAATCGACAGTCCATTCATTTCCCATTCTCCTGTCCTTTCCTGTGAATGAGGAGGTCAATTATACTTGGTACTAATACAAAAGTAAGTATGCAGCGCACCTAATTCATTGATTTCCCATAATTTACAAAATTCTTATTTTGTACAAACTGTGGAAGTTCTTTGTCAAGTCATATGTACATTAAATTAAAATGTCAGTCTAGATATTGGGGTTAGATTAATTTCGATTGGATATTTTTTCTTACAAATAATTCCTTGGTTCCCAGATACTTTATTGATATGTATGATGTATGTAAAATGTAAAAGTGAATGTATTTGTTTGTTGTTTTACGTCTAAAGCGCTGATCCAATTTTAATGAACTTCAGTACATATCTATAAACGTACATATAATTTAGCTTCTTCATGTTGTCTAAAAAATGGTTGCCTGTAAAGTCGGTTTTACGGGCGAAGATTTTACGTGACAACGTCTTTTTCTCGGTAGAATATTTATTGATATGAATATAATTAAATTGCACAATAGGAACAAGGAATTGAATGAAAATAAGAATTGCACAAATTTTAACTATAGAAATATATATAATACGTCAAAAAAACATATTACAATGCATTGTGCTTGTGAATACCATCGTAGCATGCAACCACGCTACGACGATTCGTAGCAAACTTGCTACACGGCTACGGGGTTCCAGCATGCTACGAGACTCATCGTAACGTTACCGAGCGTTACACTTTTTCATAAGTGACTCCCAGCCGCAACCTAATTTAAGACGTTGTCACGTCAAAATAAAAGTTGAAAGGATAAAAATTCAGTAACGGAA